AATATCATATTTGAATGAAACACCAGATCAAAGCAAGAGATCATTCCCTAGGAACAGCAGCCTTTAAAATGAAATCCAACAGGGGTGGAAAGATGGCTCAGTGGTTAAAGGTACTGATTGTTTTCACAGTGGATACAAGTTTGGTTTCCAGAGCATATGTTTGGTGAACTCACAACCTGGTTGTTGTTGTTGTTGTTTTGTTTGTTTTTTGTTTTTTAAAGAGAACCATTAGGTCATATTTCAAAAACCTTACTTTACAAAACTGAAAAATCTAAAAGAAATGGACAAATTTCTCTATAGATACCACTTATCTTAGTTAAATAAAGATCAGATAAACAATTTAAATAGACCCCTAAGGAAAAAGAAGCAGTCATTAAAGTCTTCAAGCCAAAAAAGCCCAGGATCAGATGTTTTTAATGCAGAATTCTACCAGACTTTCAAAGAAAAGCTAATACCAATACTATTCAAATTATTCCACAATATACAAACAGAACCAACATTGCCAAATTCTTTCTATGAAGCCACAGTCACCCTGATACCCTAGCCACACAAAGACTTAACAAAGAAGAGAATTACAGACCAATTTTACTCATGAACATTGATGCAAAAATACTCAATAAAATACTGGCAAACTGGATTCAAGAACACATCAAAAAGATCAATCACCATGATTAAGTGGACTTCATCCCAGAGATTCAGGGATGCTCCAATATATGAAAAATCTGTCAATGTAGTCTACTGTGTAGACAAATTGAAAGAAAAAAAAAACACTTGATCATCTCTTTAGATGCTGAAAAAGCCTTTGACAAAATCCAGCACTGCTCCATGGTAAAAGTCCTGGAAAGAACAGAAACACAAGGGAGATACCCAAATATAATAAAAGCAATATACAGCAAGCCTATTGCTAACATCAAATTAAATGGAGAGAAACTCAAAGCAATTCCACTAAAATCAGGAACAAGGTATTCTCCCCATACCTATTCAATATAGGACTTGAAGCTCTACCTAAAGCAATAAGACAACTAAAGGAAACCAAAGGGATACAAATTGGAAAGGAAGAAGTCAAAATATCATTATTCACAAATGATATGACAGTATAGATAAACAACCCCAAAATCTCTACCAGGGGACTCCTACAGATGATAAACACCTATAGACAAGTGTCTGGATACAAGGTTAACTCAAAAAACTCAGTAGCCCTCCTACATACAAATGATAAATGGGCTGAGAAAGAAATCAGAGAAGCAACACTCTTTACAATAGCCTCGAATAATACAAAATGCCTTGGTGTAACTCTAACCAAGCAAGTGAAAGACCTGTATGACAAGAACTTCAAATCTTTGAGGAAAGAAATTGAAGAAGATAACCAAAAGACAGAAAGATTTTCCATGCTCATGGATCAGTAGGATTAACATTGTAAAAATGCCCATTTTACCAAAAGCAATCTACAGATTCAATGCATTCCCCATTAAAATCACAGCACAATTCTTTATAGCCATTGAAAGAACGATACTAAACTTCATATGGAAAAAAAAAACCAAGGATAGCTAAAACAATCCTGTACAATAAAAGAACCTCTGGAGGTATCACCATCCTTGATTTCAACCTCTACAACAGAGCTATAGTAATAAAAACCACATGGTAATTTATATTTATATATTTATATATAATATATATATTATATATGTATATATATTTATATATTTATAGTAATAAAAACCACATAAAAACAGACACAGGGATCAATGGAATCAAATCAAAGACCTAGATGTAAATTCACACACCTATGGACACCTGATTTTTTACAAAGCAGCCAAAATTACACAATGGAGGAAAGAAAGCATCTTCAGCAAATGGTGCTGATCCAACTGGATGTCAGTGTGTAGGAGAACACAAATAGATCCGTACCTACCACCCTGCACAAAAATCAAGTCCAAGTGCATCAAATACCTCAACATAAATCCAGTTACACTGAAACTGATAGAAAATAAAGTGAGGAATAGCCTTGAATGCATTGGCATAGGAAACAACTTCCTGAACTGAACACTAATAGCACTAAGATCGACAATTAATAAATGGGACCTCATGAAACTGCAAAGTTTCTGTAAGGCAAAGAACACAGTTTATAAGACAAAACAACAGCCTAGAGAATGGGAAAAAATCTTCACCAACCTCACATCTGACAGAGGGCTGATATCCAAAATATATAAAGAACTCAAGAAACTAGATATCAACAAACCAAATAATCCAATTAAAAATGGGGTACAGATCTAAACAAATGATTCTCAACAGAAGAGTCTCAAATGGGAGAGAAACACTTAAGGAGATGCTCACGATCTTTTGAAATTCCAACTCTAGAGGATCTAAGGCCCTACCAAGGGGTATGGCACATGCTCCCACATGGAATCAGACATATACATGTTAAAAATAGACGAACAAAAACTCCAGGACTAGGTATAAGTAACCTCTTTTATGTGTTAGTGGTCAGAGTAGTCCATGTAACCCCCTCCCAAAAAAATTAAGATATTACTGTTACTATTGCTGCCTCTCAGAAATTAAATGTGAGTCCCTATTGCTGAAGAAACCACACACTTTGGATAGATGACTGATTTAGCATATCTGAGCTGGGTCTGATCTGAATGTCTCCTTTCCGTGGTCTAGCTCTCTAGTACCAGCAGTAGTATACAAGCTGCCATGTGAGGTAAGAATCAGTGGTGTAACTAAATGCAATGCCTGTGGACCAGAATAATGAACAAGACAGCAAACTATCCATGAAAGCTCAATAGTGGCACTCATGTATTGGAGGTAACCAACAGCTATCTCACTTTACTTAAGACCTGCTCAAAGTGTGGGAAAACTACCTGGAGATAAAAATAGTGGATTGTGGGAGCCCATTTTCAGGTTCCTCATGGCTTTACTCAGCAGGTCTACAAAAAGAGGATGATCGGACCACTGCCCTTGGCTGTGCTGGGGGAAGGTCTTTTGCTGCACCCCTTAGCATTTCTATAAATACCCTAGGACAGAGACAGTCAGGGCCCCTTGGAATAGGTTCCAGGCCCTCTCAAGGCTATCCTGTATCAGTTTATCTCCACAATCTAAGTCCTTGTATCTAATATTTCCTGCTACTCTCACTCAAGAGAACTCTGGGGAACTGTAGGGTTGGTGGGTAAAAGCCCCGCAGTGGATCTTCGAAGAGCATCCAGTTCCACCACTTCACTAGACCAGCAGGATTCATAACTACAGCTAAAATTTATCCTTATGTCCACAAATAAGTGTAGCTCTCACCCCACATCGAAGAAGCTTTTCTTTGCAGTGGACAGAAGCCATTAAACAAAACTACAAAACGCCAAATTTAGTAGATCAATGGGATGCCTAGTCTCTGCTGATGCATCTAAAACTCAAATCCTGCACCTAAGACTCAGGGAACATTATAGAAGGTGCATGTGTGGATGGGGCTGGGGGTGTAAGAGCCAGAGGATCATTAAGTCAGCTATCAGTTTGTGTCTCCAGGAAATAGCAGGGAAGCTATCCTCATACCTCAATAGTAGATTGCCTCAACAAGACCCGAACGATGAGAACTCCAGTAGACATGCTAACATGGAAGCAGGGAATCTCAGGAGCTTCCACTCCTAACTACAGGCCACTATAGGTTGCTGAAAGAGGGATAATTTTTCCTTTCCAGAGATGAGCTAGCTCCCTAATTGGTTATTCTATACCAAATGGTTAGCTCTGAAATCAAATACTCACAAACAACACTAGGTGAACTCATAGAATGCTGTATACATTGCATTTATACATATATGGAGTAATAATAATTTAAAGGCCATCAATGAGAAAAAAAGCAGAGGGAAAATGTGAGAAAGTATAGAATCAAAAGATGCGAGTGACTGGAGGTAGGAGACATGGGAATGGTTGGAGAGAGGAAAGGAAAGAAGAAAATGATGTGATTGTATTTTAATTAAAATTAAAAGAAGTGTTTTTAAAAATTAAAATGTCCTTTTGTTTGAAACAAATAAAATGCAAAAGTCAGCCCAAAATGTTATAAATCTGAATTTTATAAATAAGATGAACAAGAGCATGCAATAAGAGCAATTGCTAATGAAAACCAGCAGGTTGCCAAGCATGGCCTTCTGTTCTCACCCATGTATGTACCATTTTAAGCCTTTACAGAATGTGGGCACAGTCACACTCTTTATCAGTAAGTATGTGGCTGTGCAGTCATATTAAAGAATTCACGTTTTACTTTTTCGTCTATCATTCTATAATAAGAATGCAGACATTTTATAATAATATAAGCCCCCTTTTTTTACCTACACACCTATGTTTATTGTAGCAATATCCACACTAGCCAGCCTGCAGTCCATCAGTGGCTGAATAAACAAAAGATAATATAAATATATACTATAGTGTAATTCAGCTATAAAGAAGAATAAAATTATATTATTTTCAGGAAAACATATAGCACTAAAAATGAAACATTTTGTAGGAGAAATAAGACAGACTCAGAGAGAAAAATTATTTCATATTTTCTATCAAATGCAGAATGCGGGAATGAAATACTTGCAAGTACAAGGCAGGCTATTTGGAAAAAGAAGCAATTCAGGAGGGATAAGGGAGGGTAATGGATGGTTCAACAATATGATGATGTCATAATGAATCTCATTATTATGTACAGTTAACATACAGTAATATAAATTGGAAATTTTCTCTCAGTTCTCATCTTACTACAAGACAAGATATTGAATATAATTTTTAATACATGAAGCACTTCTTAATATTTGAAATAAGATTCTCTGGTTCCTAAGTGTTAACAGCACACTTATGGACAGAGTTTTTTTTTCCCCTTCATTATTTGTCTGAAGAAATGTAGGAGTGTCCTCAACATGTGACTTTTCCAAGTCATCCTGTTCCACAGTTTATACTTGTACTCATTTTTATATAAGAGCAGTGACTGTAAAAATACTATGAAATTGCTATGTCAGACATCTCTGTAATTCCAGACTTTGGAAAGCTGAAGCAGGAGGATTGCCTCGACTGGTCATCCTAGACTGAATACAGAATACCAGACCAGCCAGGACTACAGATCAAAACCCATGTCAAAACAAACAAGCAAGAAGTCTAGTCATCTCTTATGTGAGACTTTATTTAAAACCTGCATGAGTACAATAGTTGTAATGGACTGTAACTTTCTTGTCCTCTTCTTTTTGTTCCATCTCCATCCTAGACTAAGTATCAAAAAAACAGAAATGATTTTATTTTATACATTTAAAGACTGCCAGACTTGGCTCATCTCCTTGATCATGTTTGCAAGTTTGTCTTCTTGTTAGACACAGAGACAGTTCGTCCTAATGGATATTTATATCCTCATTATTAATATTACATGCACATATTTAATAATAACCCTTCATAAAAGTAGAGCTCCTGTCACCTATAAAACCCCATTGGCACCTTTTGATGGGTATTGGTTGAGAGGAGCTATAAAAAACAAAGTAGTGGCTGGACCACCGCCGCCCGCCGTGCCCATCCCAGACCAGGCCTGTTATTGCCACTTGAGCAATTGTCTCCATCTGGCTTCATTTATGGTTCTGATACCTTTCAAATACCTGGCTCACAAAACAACTTGCGCAAACACTGAGGTTTCCAATTTGGTTTTATTAGAACACTGTAAAGGTGTGTAATATTTTGATAGGACATGGTTCTTGGAAGATCATATTTGTAGAGAAATTGTTTAATCATTTCCCTCCTAAAAGTTTCCTTCCGACAATTTTAATCTTGTGTGGTCACAACCATCCAATATGTCAGACATTCAGATCAAAGGGAAATCTGCTTTCTCCATGCCTTCTGCTCACAACTAAGAATGTGAAATTATAGGAGGAGTCAATTTTGAGCTTCAATCCTAACCAAAGTGAAACAAATGATTGAATTATTAGGACTATTTTTATTTGCTAAATAAAATCTCTCTTCAAATTAATTTCCCTCCAAAACCATGTATGAGTCATGTGAGCGCATCCAGTGTTCCTCTAAACAATGCTTCAATGATGGTCCAAAGTGAAAAATGAGGTTAGTCATATACATGTGCATGCATCCATACACACACTCATGGATCCACACTCACATGCATGTGCACAGGTGATCATTCACACACAAATATATATGCACATAGACAAAAATAAGTATACACACTGATAGGACTAACAATCTGTTATATAGTGTTCCACAGGTACTTCAAAAAACAGACATCCATGATGCATGCTTGCTGAATGAGCAGCCCTCTGCCTTTATTCTCCTTTTCCCTGTGGATGTGTTTCGCAGCTGTAGCTGTTCCGATGTGATTGAAGCTGGAGAAAATTATTAAAGAACCCCAAGAAGAGGACAAGGTGAGTGGAGACAGATTGTTTCTGGTTTGAATTAAAGGAAACTACCAGAGGACGATTTCTTCCACCTGTATCTATAGCCATGTCATTTATTCCAATATGGAAACCATTTGAGCTGATGTACATGCACAGAACAAGGGGAAAGAAAATATACTCTGACCATGTAACTATACAATGCATCCTAGTTTACTCAAAGTCTCTGTGGAGCGGTACACACCGGGGCATCACGGTTTCCTCTTCTGCAATCTCGGCGTTTATTTACCACCTGCCCTGCTGTGTTCTTTCCTCTCTTCATTCATTATCATGTCTTCCTGCTCTTTGAATTTTCTCACCCCATAAATGGCTTAATAGCCTATTTTATGTTCCTATATACACTATTTCTACTCAGATTTGATAAGCAAGATAAGGTTCCTGTTGTTTGAAAATCATTGCTGTACTAGTCCACATTTTTCCTCACTAGGCTCATTAGTCACCTCATGTGTTCTACATGTGCCCAGAATGTCCCAGCTGATGGAGCGTTTCATTAGAAAAGAATCAATATCCTATACAGTGTGTCCCTTGTGTGTCTACTCTGTCTAAAGCAGACTTAATGGACAGACATTTATGTATTCAGAATTCTCAAAATGTGCTTTGTAAGCTGGCATTTTTTCTGATTGAACAAATAAAAGCCTTATTTTTTTTAAAAAAAAAAAAGCTTGTTTTTAACAATGAAAAATATTAAGTAGGTTAGCATTCTAAAATATATCATGTCTGTTTTAAACATGCATGTCATCTACAGAATTACATAGTTAAAAAAATGAGAAGACAGGAGGAAATGATTATAATTAAGTCTGAGAACTGAATTTAAATTCTTTTATTACCAGAAATTATTTATCATCATTACAGTAATCAGAATGTGGCATCCTTCAAGGGAAGAAAATCAAACATCATCTCAGTTTATCATTTAAAACGTGCATAAGATTCCCCTAGGTCTTTACTAAAATTGCCACACAAAGCACAAAGGGATGAACGTTGTTTTGTCAAAATGTGAGGGGGAGAATAAGAAGTTACACAGTAGTAGATGCAAAACACGATCCCGAGATCAGAGTTCTAAATTCCAATTCCCCGAAACATCCTAACATTATCCGAAAGGCCTTGGCCTCTAACCCCTCCTTTGTTTGTGTGACAGCCTTGTGCTACTCAGTCTCCAGTGGTCCCTCCTACATCCTGCAACCAGACTTTCAAGCCGTAGGTCGTCCCCTCTAGCACTGAGCCAGCCCTGGTCCTAGGAATCGAAAGCTTTGGCATACAGAGCTTAATGCATTTGGTGTTACCTGTTAAGACCTGGGATTCTTATTCTCAAAATAAAAATATTAAAATCCTAACAAATTAAGATTATTATGCTATGTGAACATTCAAAAGAGTCAAAGGAGGTGACCACATAGAGAAGTAGGTAACCTGTCTTTGAGCACATCATGTAAAGAATCAGGGTAGATGTGCGAGTTTCATCAGCTCATTAGGGGGAGAAGTGAATGGAAGCCCATGGCTCTGTTCAAGCTGTCTTCATCCTCTCCATCCCCACGATCTACTCGTAATAAGATACCACAAATAGGCTTTCCCCAATGCAGCCTGGGGAAGTTAACAAAATTTTGCCAAACAAAATTTGTTTTCTAGACATGGTTTAAATTCACCCAAAAATGTAGGAAATATGAGTAATCTTTAAAATGAGGTGGTGAGCAGAAGCTGAACATTATAGTAAAGTGGCAAGAATCTGGGGGGCTTAGAGTGAGGGCATATTGGAGTATGAAGAAAATATATTCAAAGCTGAGTGAAATATACCAAGTATTTCTAAGGGAAGAATTACAGAAATTGTTCTTATGTCTCATTGATTTTATATACACATGTGCCCAGGTGGAATTCTTCTATTTTCCTTTGTTGGTTTGTTATCAAGTCTAGTGACGAGACTTCACCTGAGGAGTGCTAAACTGTCACAAATCTGTGAACTGAAAGAGGCTTGAGGATGCTTTCACCCAAGCTTCTACTGAACATCCACTTGGCGGTTATGTTTTTCTTGATTGCCACCATTCCTGGGGATCCTGCAAGCCTGGCCTGCAGCTTCTTCTCCTCCTCTTTGCTTTAGCGAGGAGTCAGGTTTGTTTGTTTGTTTGTTTGGATACATGGTGACAGATTGCTGAATGATTAAAACTCAGAAAGGCTGAGGCTCTTTAATTAAGATGGTTAGTTGGTAGTTTTTTTGCTTGTTTGTTTGGTTGGTTGGTTGGTTGATTTTTGTTTTGTTTTGTTTTGTTTTTCATATGTGATGGGGTTTGAAAGAGTTTCACTGTATTCCTCTGGCTCTCTTGGAATCTACTCTGTAACCAGGCTGGCCTTGAACTCATAGAGATCTGCCTGCCTCTGCCCCCAGAGTGCTGGGATTAAATGCATAGACCACCACCTGGCTAAAATTATTAGTTTTAATGTTGTAAGACATAAGAAACTTAAAAGACTTGATAAAATTCACACTGTATTTAATAGAGCCCAAATTTATAAAGGTATTTCAAAAGTTACAAAGCTGTTTGTAATCCAGAGCACAAACTACAGCATGAATACAAGTCTGAGAAAATAACAACTCACCTATCATCTTTCTTCTTGCCCCTTTTACTTACTCTCATTTATATATTTTCATGTCTATTCATTCAATTCTTAGTTTTCTATTCATGTACTCCTTACCCTACAATCTAACTACTGGAAAAATGATAATTTTCAAGATTGGATTATGAAAACAGAAAGCAGGCAGCGAAGTATTCATGCTGAGAGGAAGCAGTTCAGTCCACCTGATGCCACATAAGCTCTAATTCTGTTATCTTCTATGTCACGTCGAACATATAACTCTGCATTACACACATTACTGCATTACCCACCAGTTCTTAGCTGAGCCACCCGTGAATTTCCTCATGAATCAAGGATGAGAAACAAGGTAGATAGTCATTATATTTTCCACACTTCCATTTATTTCATTACAGATCTTAAACCAAGGAATGAAGAAGGTCTGAGTGTCACTGTTTGCTCCCAAATAATTGTCTTCTCTGGCCATGATACCATATTGCATTTGGGATAATTACATCCGAGTATTCCATGGTGCCTACATTTATCTCTATGTAAAAAAAAGAAATCCATACACAATAGGTATTATTTCACAAAATCAGGTCAGCATCACAAAGTGATAATGATTCTGAAATTTATTAAGTTTACACATTAGCTTACACTTAAGAAAACTCCCACTTGGAAATAAAATTAATCATAGGAAATTAAATTTTATTAATTAGGGTTAGCATGCTAATATGGTTATACCCATAAGAAAAGATACACTTCTGAGAAAAATACTTGTGTGTTTGAGGGACCAACAGAAAAAAAAAATTCCCACATGTACTAAAATTTAAACCATAACTGCTACCTCTAATTTATTATGAATTATTGTAGCTTGAGAAACATGAGTGTCCATAAGTATTGTGAAAAATGCTCACGAAATAGCTAAGGAAATACAATGATGGGATATTTATGTCACAGGTAATGTTGTGGCAGGAAAACAGACAGAACCAATATAAAATACCTATTTCAACCTAGTGAGCTTTTGTATAAACTAAATTAAAAGGCCTCTTCTGATGGCATTTATGTGACGGTTCCTACCAAACTGGATCTCAGGCCAGCCAAATTGTTTTTCCTCTTCTCCAGCTTTCTGTTCCTCACATTCTGGCAGGCACTATGTTTTATTTAGTCAATCTTCCCATAATTATTTATGATATTTTAGCACTAATTGAATTATCAGAGTCCCATCCAAATGACTGGCCAAAAGCAAAGGGAGCAGGCTGCATTTGTGCGAGCCCTCACACAGCTATGGGCAGCCGTTTGTCACCCACTTTCCATCAGCCATAGACCTAGAGTTAGTATGTCATGACCGAGAGTGGACTGCTTTCTCTCCTGTCTAACTAGCTACCTTAGTGTTTGCAAAAGCCCACTCTGACCATCATCATTTCTCCAAACATAGAATTAAAAACACTCATAAACTAATAATACTGTCAAATTCCTTATATTTTCAAGAACACAAGTGTCCTTAGTCCATTTGTACAGTCATAAACACAGACCACATAGGGAAAGACTTATACACAGCAACCCTTCTTCTCGGCATTCTGGAGTTTGGGAAGTCAGGGATCAGCATGCCAAAAGCTTTGTTTTCTCTTAAGTTCTAATTTACTGCCTTTTACATAGCTCTTTCTGGAAATGTCTCCACATGGTGGAAAGGGCAAGCTCACTCTTGAGGACCTGACTTCGAGAGCACTCATCCCAGTGGTGAGAACTCTGTCTTTACATCCTAATGATCTCCCAAAGATGTTGTGAAAGGGAGTCTCACACAGCAGGGCTCCCTTCCAAACCCCTGATTAGGCACAAACCACAGCCAAACAGCTGTTTTCACAGAAAGATCCATTATTAAATGGGGAAAAGTTAAAGTGGCTGCTTTCTGACTGGAGCAGAAAAACAGCAACAAATGACCTTGCAGGTGTCATTCTTAAGAGAAGAGGGGGGAGGTCTGTGTTAGAGTGGGCTAAGGTGCAGTGGTAGAGGAGATAGAGGATGAGGGAGAAGGGACTGCCACTGGATAGAAAGGAGACAGACATGGCACATAGGCAAATGGCGGTTTATTAAGGTAAAGGGGAAAACCCTGTGTTAGGATGAGGTGTTTAATTTTAATTGGGCATGTTAATTAGGTGAACCAAAGGGGGCTTCTGATTGCTGGACCTTGGTAGTCAGCCTCAGAAGGAGGAAGTGGCCAAATTAGGGAATAGACCCTGGTGGCTAGCTTTAGGAATGTAATCTAACGGTTTTTAGTAAAGTAAGGCAGAGGGAATGAGGAGAAGGGCAACCCTACCAGACCCACATGCTCCATTTGGCCAGTGTACCTTCACCCGGTGTCCCATTGTCATGTTCTCAGAGTTGGACTTCTGAAGCATGAATTTTGGCACAAAATA